CCAACATCTTCAAGAGTTCTACCTACTCTATCTTCCAGCAGATTTAGTGTTTCTCTTTGTTTTTTAATTTATTATTAAAAAGAATAAAAATAGTAAAAAGAAATAGAAATGATATAGAATTTCACCAAAGAAAATGATAGCAATTCAACAATGGTTGTTATATTGCATAATGCAGTCTTCAAATTAGTTGTTCAGGTTGCCGGATATAAGCATGCAAAATTGGTCAAAAAAATTAAAAGGAAGAAAAAAATTATTTTCTTTTTTCTTTTTATTTTTTAAAGAATACAAAATAGCAATAAAAAGCAGCATTAGCAATGATTAAAAATTTCACTAAACAAAGTAATAGGAATTCAGTAATGGTTGCTGTATTGTATGATATTATCTTCAAATTGATTGTTTAAATTACCAGATATAAAGGTGCAAAATTGGTTTAAAAATGAAACAAAACAAAATAACAAAAGTGTTATAAGAAATTAAAAAATAAAAAGTAAGAATAAAAAGAAAAAATTCATTTTAACTATTTAGCTGCTCCTTTCAAAAGAGCAGCAGAGAGCCAGCCAAATAGCTCAGTAGATTAAAGCAACTGCTTAGGCAGAGGCAGCGGCCAGGGTGTGATTCCCAGAAGGCCCTGCGAGGCCCACTCCCCCGCCCCCAGGGCGCGCTGAGACGTGCTTGAGACTGGGCGTGGTGGCACATGCCTGTAATCCCAGCTCTTGGGAGACTGAACACAGGAGACTCTCGATGAATCCAATCTGCATAGTGAGACCTTGTAGACCCTTACTAAAATAAAAATTTAAAAAAAGACCAGCAGAATTGAACAGTAGCTATCCAAGCAATTCTTGGATTTGCATGGGCTGAAGATTTCTCTAACTATCCCACCCCAAAAAGCCCTCCCTACCCCTTCAGTGTTTCTCTCTCCTCCTCCATCAAATTACCTTGTATATTTCCTTTATAGCATCTATCATTACTGAAAATAGTTTCTTTATTCTTTAGAAGTGAACCAAAGCTTTCACACAGATTTATAACCTTAGCCATTTATTTATTTATTTATTTATTTATTTAATCTTGATACAGAATGTCCTTAAATCACTGATTTGACGTGGCTGGGCCCAAGTGTGCTATCCTCCAGCCTCAGCCTTCCAGTGTGCCGGATTACACCTGCTTATCTGGAATGTCACACTCTGGTGAGAGAAAACAGCCCTGAGCAACGAACTGCTGTCCTTCATGTGACAAAGATGCATCAATATTTCAGAACCTAGATTTGAAATACCAGACAAGGACAAAGGATCCTTGCCCTAGTCACTGTAGAGTGTCCTAGGCATAATGCACACTAAATAAATAAGGACAGAAATAATGCAAAGTTATACTTGAAAGGAGTGTGAGGGAGAGAAACACAAGCGTTAGACCTAACGATGGAACCTCACTGAAGCAAGGAGTCAGGAGAAGCTTTCTGGAGGGAAAGTGCTTTTGAGCTAAGCTTTAAGACAAATAGAGATTGTGTAAGTGCGGAGCTTCACGCCTGAGGGAGCAGTGTAGAAAAAGACACTTGGAGCTGTCAGGCAGATGACATAGAAGGGGGACTGGAAAAAAGCCTGCGAGGTGATCAGGGAGACAGCTCAGTGGCACAGTGCCTGCCTGGCAACCACAAAGTCCTGAGTTCAAATCCAAGGATACTGAACCTGAAACAGGTGCTGGAGGTGGGAGTGTGAGGCCACACTGGACTAGTATGGCTAGTGTGTGTGTGTGTGTGTGTGTGTGTGTGTGTGTGTGTGTGTGTGTGTGTTGGATCACACATACCTGAGTGCACTGATAGGGGGATATCATCACATTTATGTTCTGTACAGATGATCATTGATATTCTGTAGAAGCCTGGAGAGAGTTAACATTGGCATCATAGACCACAGAGGATCAGAGGAAGTCACAGAAATATCCCAGGAGAGAAGTGATAGAAGACTGGATTCCAATCACGCTGCTAGAATAACAAATGAGAGTCCGGGTGTGGTGGCTCACACCTGTAATCCAAGCACTAGGGAAGCAGAAAACAGGAGGATCACTATGAGTCCAAGCTGTGCAGCGAGACCCTGCACAAACAAAAAAGAATAGACTGGTCCCCAAAACATTTAGGGACTAGATCAGAAAATCTTTGGTTCTGACAGGATATGAAGGAAGATATCAAGGATCATTTGCTGATTGCTTGAGCTGAAGAGAAGATATTCCCCTTCTCTGAGAGAAGATACTGCAAGGAATATTGGGAGGTACTGAGGTCATGAGCTTTGGATTTGACAGGTTAGAGAATTTTGTGTTGTTTTGTACGTGTTACAACTATATTTCTTGAATTTTTGTGAGTTAGTGATTTATCTCTGTTCTATTCTTCCTGACTCTTCATTTTCACTCTTTAAAATATGTTTTTGCTATTATCACTTTTTAACAGTGAAATAGAATTCTGCAGATGCTTTACACATTCCTAAATTTGAGATTATGTATAAAGCATCAAGCAGACCCAAACTGTCACCAGATAATTTTGCTGTAGCAAGAATGCATTGGCTGTCGCCTGGTAGTATCCTCTCTAAAGGACATAAGGTCAACAGCTTGGAACCTGCTATCAAAACTACCTATTAAAAACTAGTGGAAACGTCAACTCTATTTTCACAGTTCCTGAGCAAAAATTGTCAAATTTAATACAAATATCCAAACCCAGTCAAGTAGAATTTCACAATATCAAATTAATCAAAGAGCGTCCTCAGGCACTGGGACTTTGGACATTTTTCTAATGCATTTAGCCATCACCTACATGACCTACAGTGAAACCATGCCGCAGAAATTTTGACTAAAGTACTCTTACACTGACACCTCTCTGTAACATATTTTATTGATAAAAACATAGTTTTAAATTTATTTTATTTTTTAATTCCTGGTAGATTTTTGTGATAATCACACTCGTCTTGGGGGCGTGATACACACACAGCTCTTGTTCAACACTTTCGCTTTACCGCCTCCATCTTCCCTTCCTCCTTCCTCAGTCTCTTTTCCCTCTCCATGAAGTAAAACTCCTTCTGTTCTTCCACAGCTCTTATGTTTTCAGTTTAAATTTTTTTATCTAGTAGATGCTTAGATTACAGTAGCCATATGATATTTATTTTTCTATATTTTATTTATTTCACTTAACTTTATGGCCTCAAGATCCATTTTCCTACAAACCACTTGAATTTATCCTTCTTTATGGCTGAGTAATACTCATATATGTGTATTTGTCTTTGTCATTTATTTGTGGATGGTTACATAGGCTGCTTCTGTAATTTGTAGACTGTTGATTGAGTTGCGATGATTATGGCTATGTATGTATCGCTCTATGATAACTAAGTATTTGGAGAAGATACTCAGGGTGGGGAGTCCAAATGGAATTTCTTTTTCTGTGTTTCAGAGGACCACTGTGCTTTTGCACAGTGGTTTTAATGTTTTGTGCAACCCTCCAATAATGTGGAAGGGTTCCGTTTTCACAGGAGTCAACCTATATTCAAGTGGGCCTTCTTAACTACAAATTAAGAATAAAAAATAATCCCAAACCTAAATAGCATTTGTTTTGGTTTTTGTCCTTCATAATGGGCAGTCTTACTGGGAAAGACTGACATATTCTATAAAAAGATCACCAATATGTGTTCTAATTTATTAAAAGAAATTACTCAGAATTAATAAGATATTTGTTCTTTTTATTTTATTCCAGTTCTGTAGAAATTCTGGAGTATCACACAAGAATCCTTTCAGTTTTTAAATCATTTTATGTGTTCGTTTTATTATTATTTTTGAGAAAGATTATATTTTCTAAGGTATCCCTCCTCACAATGTATCAATATCTATATATCTATCTCAGTCTGTACCTGTGTGTGCATATGTGTGTACTCATAACCACTCTGAAAATGGTTAACCGCTGGGGAGATAGCTCAGCAGCATAAGTGCCTGCCTGGCAAGTGCAAGGTCATGAGTTTGACCCCTGGTACCGCAAAAGAAAAGAAAAGAAAAGGATGTGAAAATAGTTAACAACTATGCTCCAGTTATATTTGACTTCAAGCATCATATAAAATTCAACTACTTTAAATATGAACAACTTCAAAACAATAACACTTGTCTAAACTAAATTCAAAGCTATAATTTTTAACATGTTCTAAATACAAAAAAATGACATTAGAAAAAAATAAATAATTTCATAAATGGTAGCTTCTAAGAAATCAAAGTAGAGACCAAGTTCTTACTTTAGTAAATTCATCAAATAAAGAATCCGTTCACATATCTAACAGGTAGTTAAGAAAAGTGAACTTTGTTGACAATATAAATGTAAAAACAGACCCCCACATTGTACTATTGTGTTTTACTATGTTTTCCCTCTCAATTTGGTCAGTCTCTAAATGTTTAATTTTATTTAATGCTAGATTTAAATTAAGTGAACTGCACATGTGAAGTATTTCATTGGCTTCTACAAATTAGTAAAAAGTACATACACAAGCAAGTACAAGGAAAGCTATCATTTGTGAACGATAGTGTAAGACAGTGGTGATGAGCTTGAGCCACACTTGGCAGAGTGGGCTGTTTGTATCATTGAAAGGTTCACCCTCACTGATACAGGAGAATGGAACATTTGAGTTCTTAACCGACAGTTAGGAATTAGAGAAAAGCAAACTTGAAAGAAAATGTATTTGGAAACTGTGAATGATGATGAGTCATTAAGGTCGACAGATACAACCAACCAGGCTTGACTTGTTGTCCTGGTTCTGACAGTGGTAGTCATCATGAGTGCTCTATGGGACGCTTACCGTAGCGTTAACCACGTATATTAGCACCATCCGCTGCTAAGTGAATGCAGTATCCATAGTCTGAACCTTACAGCATACATTGAAAAACATTTATGAGCAGTTTACTGAAGGCTTTCAAATAAAATTCATTAGCTTTCACCTCCCCAATATTGAAGAAAATGGAGAAAATTCTGCTAAATTTAAGAAACATGGACATCCGAAACATTTATTTCAGTATTTATTTTTACATTAGCATTCATTATTTTGTCTTTATATACAAAATTTTTCATCTTAGAAGATATGAAGGTACAAAAAACATGAAGAAGCAAGTTATAATTGTTCCTTACTTCATCTCTAGAACTAACCACCATAATCCTTTCAGTTTCATTCCTTCTAATCTATTCTGATTATTCATAACTCTTTAATAAAACTAAAACCACACTGTATATTTAGATCATTGCACTTTTTCCTCAACATTGTATCACCATACTTCTTTAACATATTAAGATCCTGAACTCTAAGCCATAGACACTTTGATCCATAGTGGTGTATTTAAAATGTGGTTCACTAAAGCATGTATTACCACTTCCAACTTTTATCATTAGAAATACAACTTTAATTCCTTTCTAGACTTCGCAACCCAGTACCCTAAACTATTACATGGAACACAGATGCTTCAACTTCAAAACGTTATAAATCATTCAACAGACATAAAAAGAGTCCAACTGAAATTTCTAGGTAAAAATAATATACATAATGAAAAAAACTCTTGTATTCTTTAAAATGACACATGTCTCTGAAAGCACATTGCCTTTTCTCCCGGAAGCGGATGCCATCTCCAGCCACCCTCTGAGCAGGGAGAGAGCTGCACCAACTTCTTTCGCTATGTTGCTGGCTTTCTGACATAGACGAGGTCTAAGTCAGAGGAGTCCTCCGGAGCAGCTGGCGCGCTGAGGACAGGGCTCAACTCTGCAGCTCCAAAGCCAGGAGACATCTTCATTTCAAAGTCAACTGTGGGAGCTGCATGAGAGAGTCCACATTACCACGACGTTCTCCGAAGAGCACGCCAAGGGGACTGGGTGGGAAATGCTTATCTGCAATTTGTATTGTCTCTAGAGCCAAAATAAAGTGGGAAAATGGAACACTTGATAATTTAAATCTGTAAACAACAAAGCAAATTTGTAACTTCTTTTCAACAAATAGCCTTTCTTTAAATTTAAAGCTTGGGGCGGGGGAGATGGCTCAGTAGAATAAGTGCTTGCCTAGCAAGCGCAAGGGCCTGAATTCAATCCCCGGTTCCGCAATAAATAAACAAATTAATTAATTAATTAATTAATTTAAAACTTACTTAAAATATTTATTTTATTTCAAAGTTATTTTACTTGGAAAATTCATCAAAACACCCTATGTTTTCACTCAGTCTGGAACCTTTATTATATATTCTTTTTATTCCACTTAACAGTGAGCTATTAAAGTTTCTAAACTATACGGACAACAGGTTTTTAAAAATAGAGTAACAAGCATGCTGTTCTGTGTGTTAAGGTTGAAAGTGTGCAGGTACAGCCTCTCCCAAAACTGCAGGCCTGCTCACTCCAAGAGCTGGCAGGGCACAGAAGCCGAGACCAGCAGGGTGGGAGCCAGGCCACTCAGAAGGCGGCCATCCTGGGTCTCTATCATCCTTCCCTGAGGCTACTGTGCAGACACAAGACTCAGATCTCAGCCTTGCAGCCCCACTTAATCCTCCCCAGATGGCAACAGGGATAACTTCTCAGTCTTGGCTCAGGGTGGCCCCCCACGCTCCTGCTGGTGGCTGTTCAATGGGGAGCAGCTGCCTGCTCCATCCCAGCCCTCAGGTGGGCCTCACATCAAAGCCTCCCTGCCTGTCCTCCTGATGGGTTTCGTGACAGTTACTGCGTGCAGTGGTTCAGTCTCAGTAACAAATGCGCTCCCCAGAAAAGGTTAAAACTCACCCACTGGCAGACAGATCTTTGCTTCTCACGTTTGAAAGCACAGGTTCAGAATAGAAAAAGGATTTAAACCACCAGGTGGATTCTGCCACTTCCGGGAGCCCTATAAACAATATTCTTATGAAATTCCCTTATCAAAAAAAGTTTGAGAATAGAGAAACAGGGAAATAAAGAAGATGGTATTAAGATGGAAACTGCACCTTGTAGCAGCTTCTCGTCGTCTATGATGTTAGCAGAATCAGGACCAGCCAGTGAGCTCACGGAAGAAATACTCAGTTCTGCAGGAAACGGATACAACAGAAACAAGTGAATGGCAAAGCAAGGAGTACTGCAAGTTACCTATCTATACAGGGAGGCTTTTCAATGGCATGATTCAAAATCATTTACCTTTGGCTTGGGAATTTAGTAAAGAAAAATTGATCCGAGCTTTAATCCCTGAAAATGCTTCCCTAGTAAGAGCTATTACATTTTCTGCTAATAAGATATATTCATTATGATGGTAAATAACTCTTCTCTCTCCCTCAGTGGGTATAGACATAGAATTTAAGATATGTTATTAATGTTGTCAAATTCAACAACTCAAGAAGTACAAAATCTGAATAAAAATGGCGAAGAAGAAAATAACTATAAAATAAAAAAAGTATTGCTGTACTGTGTTAACACATTACATACATGTACGTTGGTGCTATAACAATGACCAATTTCAAACATTAAGAAGTTATTTTAGGGCCAGTGTGATAAGCTCAGAGGACTGAGTGCCTGCTTAGGCAGGTACAGGGACCCACATTCAGTCCTCAGCACCACATGTCATGCCAGACCCACCCCCAGGCACGCTGAGCCTGCCATTGAGACCAGGCGTGGTGACGCACAATGTAATCGCAGCGCTGGGGAGGCTGAAACAGGAGGATCGCTACAAGTCTGAGCTGCATAGTAAAACCTGTACCAAATACATTTTTAAAAAGAAGTTATTTTTTTAAAAAAAAACTTGCCCTATTCAGCTTATACAAATAAGACATTTTAAAAAGCAAAATATAACTTCTGTTGATACAATAACAATAGGAATAATGTAGATTTTGTTTAAAAAAAAGAATAAGTTCATAGATATTTTAACAATTATGCATGAAAAATCCTTGAAATAAGAACTGTTTTTACAGGTTTTTGGCAAGCATGCGTTCAACACATACTAATTTGGTTCTAAAATATTCGTTTAGATTTACAAAATTTCTCAACCTTCTTTAAGATGCTACACTGTGCTCTTCGTCTACGAATATGCACAAATGAATAAATGAATAACAATAAAATTGGCCAGACTGATACTAACCTATTATTTGCTGCAGAAAATGGAAATTATAAAATCTTTGAAGCCAAGTCATACTGGCCCCTTTTCTAAAAATCTAAATAATATTCTAATTATACAACACTTTCAGGTTTTAAAATACTCTATGAAATACAAAATACTGGAGACTAAAATATAGCGCTGAAACAAAAGGTAAGATGGCTAAAGCCCAGGTAGGAGCTAAGGCGAGACTGCTCCTGGAAGCTTTCTCTCTCTGTGCCCGTGGTGCCTCTGCGGTCACGTTTTCTCCCTTAGATTCTGTACATGGTACACAGTTCGGTGCGGCCTCGCACACACGACCTGGCACCACGTGCCCCAGGGCTGTTCTGTAGCGGAGGCACGACTTACTTCGGTAGTACTGATTCCTGGCCAGAAGACAGCCGATGGAGGGGACAGACGCCATGGCTTCCAGCGAGAGTCCTTGGAGAGGCGGTGAGCTGCAATCCGAGGGACCGTGACCAGGAAAGGGACGTTCCCGTTAGAAGCGTGCAGTTCCCTTTTCCTTTTCTGTAGCAGTTGTTTTTGGAAAGCAGCATCATATTTATTAAATATAATAAATATCTGGTAACAGGAATTTAAGTATTTGCACCAAATTGCAAACATAAGGTGATAAAGAAAAATGCTGCATGTTTATACACCCAGAAAGTTCAGAAATTCGTGCATAAAGATCACGATTTGAGTCCAGCAATATAGCAACTCCTTGTCTCAAATAAAGAAAATTAATAGCTCGGCGCCAAGGCCCTGAGTTCAAACCCTACACTGGAATAAAGAAAGAAATCAACTGGTATAATTATTTGGGAAAAAGAAGAAAGAAAAACTACATATTCAACTAAAGACAATGCCCACACAACTTACTCCACTTAAAACAAATCTAAAAGTAAACACAGAACCAACAACAACAATAAAAGTGAACAATGAACACAGGTGTAAAGCAGTCACTTGCCTATTTTCCCAAATTTGTGCCTTGAAGACAAACGTGGCTTGAAAATTTCTTCAGAAACTACACACATGGAAAGAAACAAGGTGCAATGATAGGAGAGAAGCCTCAACAACCAGAAACCAGGAGTCAGCGGCAGTGCTTGGCAACGCGATGCAGAACACTGAGGACGTTTTATATGTGAGTACAGGCCGGTTGGCCTCTGCGCAGTGAGTAATGGGAGCTCGGGCGGCACCCAGCCAGACGAGGCTGTGAGGGGACGCTCCGCCCCTCCGCCCGCCAGCTGCCCTTCTCTCTCCTTGGAATGTGTCAGCGTGCCAACAGGGGCTGCAATCAACAGGACATTTGGCCTCAGACCCAGTTTGGGGTCACTCTTTAATGTCACAGCATAAAACACATTACTGTTTACCTGGAAGGAACCGACAGTCAGGTATCTCTTCTACCTTAGATAAGAACTCAGACTCTACCAAAAGCACCAGGCTGGGCACAACTGGTGATGCCACAGATTGTCCACAGTTTAGCTGGGGAAAGTGAACAGAGCCACGGGTGCTATGACGCCAGGAGAATCCAACTGTCGCAGGAGGACAGCAGAGAGTCTGGGACCTTAAAGCCTTTCTGGGAAAGAGACACTCACAGTCAGACTTAGTGAGCTCGTGGAGTGAGCTAGCAATTCCAGGAAGATTAATGAAAAATAGATGGCTTCAGGATAATGTGGGAAAAATTATGACATTGGATCAATATCATTTATTGATGAAAACTCTTTAATATTAGTAGTGTCAGTTGATTTCATATTGGATAGACTCAGCTGATTAATCAAATTTCGACTTCATTTTATATTGAGGGGTGGTCATTTCAATTGCTATTTCAAATTATTTACAGATGTTGCTTTCATTTGTATATTCTTAATTTAATTTTTCTGTAAGATTATTTGCATCAGTTTGGCTTTCAAATGCATCCAGAACAATTATTGTTATTTTCCATTGTGT